CAAGAAAATAGGACCCACAATGAGAAAAATCAATCATCTGACATCAACCTAGAAATGACACTCTTAGAATTAGCAGACAGAGACATTTAAACAGTTTTTATCACTGTATTTCACAGGTTCAAAAAGTGAAGTAGAGACATGAAAGCCATTTAAAAAAAAAAAAAAAACCAAGTCAAACTTCTAGAGATCAAACCTACAACGTATGAGATAAAAATATACTGGATAGGATTAATGGCAGGTTAGAGAAGATAATAAAAAGATCGGTGAATTAAAGGTAGCAATCAAAATTGTCTGTATTAGTTCTCTGTTGCTGCTATAACAAATTACGACAAACTCTATAGCTTGAACAACACAAATGTATTATCTTCTTGCTCTGTAGATCAGAAGTTGGTCACAGGTCTCCTTGGGCTTAAATCATGGTGTTGGTAGGGCTGAGTTCCCTTTGGGAGGCTCTAGGGGAGAATCCATTTTCTTGACTTTTCTAGCTTCCAGAAACTGCCAGTCTCCCTCAGCTGCTGGTCCCCTTCCTCCATCTTTGTGACTAAAAATGGCCAATCCAGCCCTCAGGTTGCATCACTGTCTCCTGTATGTGGTCATAGTTCTGACTCTCCTTCCTCTACTTTTACAGAGGCTTGTGGTTACAGTGGACCTATCTGTATAATCCAGGGGCAAGTGCCTACCTTAAGGCCCAACCGATGAGCAACCTTAATTCCACTTGCAACCCTGATTCCTTTTTGCTCTGTCGCCTAACACAGTCCCAGGTCCCAGGGCCTAGGAAGCAGGTGTCTTTGGGGACTGTCATACTACTTACCACACTGTCCAAGAATAAAACAAAGAGAAAATAGAATTCAACAAGAATAGACAGAGCATCAGTGAGCTGTAGGATAACTTTCCGGTTGCTAATATTCATGTACTTGGAATCTTAAAATGGGGAGAGGGGACAGAAAAGTATATCTGAAGCCCCACGTTTCCCAAATTTTATGAAAACTATAAACCAAGAAATCTGAGAAGCTCGATGAGTCCTAAGTACTAAAAACATGAAGAAAACTATACTGAGGCACGTCACAATCAAATTGCTCAGGAGCTGAAAAAGAAGACAGACACATTACATGCAGAGGAGCCCAAAAGAAGGTGGCAGCCAAGTTCTCATGAGAAACAGTGCTCAGAGAATACTGACCAGGCCAGACCATATTCTGAGGCAAAACCAAGTGGTAAAGGGATTCAAATCGTACAACATGTGTTATCTGACCAAGTGGAATTAAATGAGGAATCAGTAAGAGAAGGATTTCTGGCAAATTCCCCCAAATGGAGATTGACACATTTCCAAACAACTCATAGGTCAAAGAAGAAATCCAAAGGGAAGTTATTTTGAATTGAAAGTATTTTGAGCTGAATTAAAATGAACACGACACAACATACCAAAATTTGGGGAGAGCCTGTAAGCAGTACTTAGGACAAGCATAGCACTCATCACCATAAGCAACTAGAAGAGGGAGCCCCAATGAGACCCAAAGGAGACAGATGAAAAGAAGTCCTCAAGATCAGAGATACAGTCAGTGAACTGCATAGAGTACACATCTGCAGACTACAGCCTGCGGCTGGCTCCTCCTTTTTGGAAATAAAGTTTTACACAAACACAAGTGTGCCCTCTTGTTTACATATTGTCTGCGGTTGCTTTTTAGCTCTAACCGAGGAGCAGGTAGAGCCGAGCAGAGACCATATGGCCCGACAACTAAAATATTTACTATCTAGCCCTTTTAAAAAAAAGTTTGTTAACCAGAAACACAATAAACAAAATCTATAAAAGAGAAAGCTAGGTTTTTGAGATCAAAAAAATCAGTAAACCTCTAGCAATACTGATTGGAGGGAAAAAAGAAGATATAAACTGTCAACATCAGAAATGAGAGAGGTGACATTACCACCGATTCTCCAAATATTAAAAAGATAATAAGGGTATATTACGGACATCTTTCCACCAGTACCTCTGACAACTTAGATGAAAGAAATTCCTTGCAAAACACAAGCTATCAAAGCTCACTCGAGAAGAAATACAAGTATGTATTAAAGAAATTGGATCTGTTATTAAAGACCTTCCCACAAAGAAACTCGAGGTCTAGGTGGCTTCACCATTGCATTCTACCAAATATTAAAAGTATAAAATAATGGCAACTGTACACAAACTCTTCCCCAAAAATGAAAAGGTGGGAAGAGCTACCAGGTAATTCTGTGAGGCCAGTGTGACCCTGGTACCAGTTGCAAGTGGGTGCACTGGCAAGTCAACAGAGAACTGACCGTCTATTCTTCCAGTGGTGCTGGAAAAGCTAGACATCCGTATGCCAAAGAATGAAGTTGAATCCGTGCCTTGTGCCAAATACAAAAATGAACTCATGGACCTAAATGTAAATGCTAAAACCATGAAACTTCTAGGAAAAAAAAAAAACAACTTTAGGATGTGGAGTTAAGCAAAGATCTCTTAGCTACAACACCAGAAGCACACTCACTAAAAGAAGAACAATGGATACACTGGGCTTCACTAAAATTAAAAACTTCTGCTCTTGTAAAGACCCTCTTAAGAGAGCAAAAGAAAAGCACAGATCGGATAAAGGACTTGTATCCAAAATATGTAAAGAACTCTCCAAACTCAATAAGGCAAAAATGAACAATCCATTTCAAAAAATGGACAAATGGTTTCAACAGAGATTTCACTGAAGGAGAGACACAGATGGAAGTGAAGTACATAAAAAAAGGTGTCCAAAATCATTCGTCATTTGGGAGCTGGAAATTTAAACACAGCACTGTCCCTCTGCACGCACATCAGAGCGGCCCGGAGTAGGAAGACCGACAAGCCCAGGTGCTGGCCAGTGAAGTCTGGGGCTCTCGTCCTCTACTGGCCTGCAGCGGAATGGTGCCCTCACTGGGGAAGTCGGTTGTGGCCATTTCTTAAAAGCTGAACATGGGTATATAAAAATATGCATATGTAAACATTCAAGAAAATGTGCAGGCTCAGAGTGGCAGGAGGGCAGGACTCGAGGCAGGGGCCCAGCTGGGCGGGAGAGCACCTACCAACCTCTGGGCAGGACGGAGACAAGTTTGGTGGGAACTCAAATGAAGCTTATGTGACATGAGTGGCTCCCTTGAAGAAAAAGAATTTAAAACAAGAAGTCAAGATGAAGTACAAAACTGCGTATTGAAGACAAGCAAGTAACTACAACAAATTCTTGGGAGTCCTACATCCCTTTCTTCTGAGTCATCTTGAGATGCGTTCAGAGAAGCTTCCTGGTGGCATCTGGCTTCCCCTCCCCCACCTTCCCCGCCTCAGTGGCAGCCCACTGGGCCTTGGGTACCGCCTGTCTGGCTTCAGGCTCTCCTCTCTCTGTCCCTGGCTCCCCTCCCCTCTGCCTCCACAGCCCTGCTGCCCAGCAGGGACAGGGCTTGAGTGTGCAGAAGGCATTCTGGGACCCCGGCAAGCCATGCTTGTCTCCTTGCTTACCACCCTCCTGAGCTTTGGGCCGCACAGGCCTCTCCAGACATGGAGGACACACCCCGCCTGTGCTCTAGCTCTCAGAGCACTCTCCTCTGCTTACTGGTCCTTGGGGGCTTTGCCGTGACTGCCGTCAGACAGGCCCTTGCAAGCTGTCAAGCCAGTTCTGGAATCACTCGGTGTCTTCCTTTCCCCGTCTAAAAATGCAGAAATTAATAATACCTCCTTTCACAGTCTTTGTGAAGATGAAAGTATCCTAGGAGGGCTGGTGTGTCTGTCAGTTTTGTCCACTTAAGTGTCTGCAGCTTCTAGAAGAGTCCCAAGCAGGTACCAAGTACTCAGAAAGCACTTGCTCCTGTCTGGTCTCTGTCCCGGGGCTGCGGGCTCTAGCAACGGGTGTCCTGGGTCTCACTGTTCTCCCTAACTGCTGTCTCAGTCCCTCAAGAACCCAGGTCTCTGGGATTCACACTCTCCCCGCCAACCCCCACAGACAGTCTGTTTAGGGTCTTGAGGCTCTGGGGCCACAAGCCAGTACATGGGGGAGTTACATATTGCGGGATGTTGGGGATGAACAAAAACAAGATTATTCTAGAACATCCCTTAAGTCACCTATAAAGTTCAGTATAACTGGGTTGTGGGTACATCCCAAAGATTAGGTCATTTACACATGAAAATGTAAGAACCACAGGAGCAACAATTAGGGACAAATTCACCTAACGAACATCTGTCAGAGCTTTGCCACCCTCTGCCTTTAAACGACCCAGTGTCTAGCTGTGAGTCGGGGGAATAGGTGGAGGATGCTGGAGCGTTTTGCTCCACGCTAGTTTAATATCGAGCCTCTGCAATGTTACTTCTGGAGAGTCAGGTCTCATCGTCAGGCTGGGGAAGGAGGGCGGCTGCGATGTCAGAGCCTAAGTTAAGGCTCAGTCGTTAAGCGTCTGCCTACGGCTAGGTCATGATCCTGAAGTGCTGGGATCGAGCCCTGCATCGGGCTCCCTGCTCAGTGGGAAGCCTGCTTCTCCCTCTCCCACTCCCCATGCTTGTGTTCTCTCTCTCTCTCTGTCAAATAAATAAATAAAATCTTAAAAAACAAACACACACACACAAACAAAAAACACAGAGCAGTGTTGCCCTGCGGACTAGGAGGCAGAAAGCGATCACAAAACAAAATATATAGCCAGGGCGCTCTGGGTTCTGCACTTCTCCCAGCTGGCCTCAGATCGGAGTGCTTTTTCCCTAACAATGCCCAGGGTGCTCTCATGATTTCCGTTTTGATGTAGAAATGTAACAAAGACCAAAGGAGAACACGGAAACCTGGAAAGGCTTCAAAAAGTGTGAAAGGGGTAGGCGGGGTGAGACGTGGGGGCTGACAGATCGGAACCAGAAAGCTTGAGCAGGTCTGGGAGAGGCGGCCTTCTCCCACCCCGCCCGGGGGGTGGAGGGTGTAGTGGGAGCCTGCACCCCGGTGTCACGGTTGTGCAGGAGTCCTTGTAGTAAGTCTGTGTCTCCTGTCTTGCAGGTGGTGCCGGGGAGCGGGAGAAGGTGCCGGCCAACCCCGAGGCGCTCCTGCTCATGGCCAGCTCCCAGCGTGACATGGAGGACTGGGTGCAGGCCATCCGCCGGGTCATCTGGGCCCCACTTGGTGGAGGTACTGCCCGTAGATCGCATGCTCACCCTCTAGAACCCTTGCCTTCAGGTAATCTTGCCCCCCTCCCCAGCTCTGCACCGAGCCTGCAAAGACACCTCTTGCCCAGGGCTTGCTGGCTGTGTCCCGAGCAGCCTCCAGCAGGCAGGCCAATCTGGTCTTCTGCTGCCAGCCGCCAGGAGTCACACCTCCCGTGCACCCGGGGGGCAGCAGCAGGGGACATCAGGGCAACGTTTCAAAACATGCCCTCCTCCAGCAAGAATACTGTGGTGGGTGCATACGTGCCTCCCTGCGCCCAGGGCCCTGCTGGACAGCAGGTGTTCATGCGGTGGTGTGCACTAGGCCTGGGGCCCTGCCCCCTGCCGTGCTCTCTGCAGCCACGTAGGGCTGCCCACACAGCCTGTTCCCGGGTCCCCATTTGACAGCAGTGGCTGCCATCTACTCCCTTCCGCCTTGATTAAGAGCACTTATTGGATGCCTGAAGTGTACCTGGACTTATCCCAGGTGCTAGGAATTCAGTGATAACACAGAGAATTCCTCCGCCCTCTCCATCCTCTCAAGTAAAGGTGTCACATGATGTTTGGTAGCGAGAAGCATAATGAAGTAAAGCTCAGTAGGATGAGAGGGGACGCTGTGTTAGACGCTGTCGCTCAGCCATCTCAATGAAGTAGCCAGGAGAGCCAGCGGAATGCTGGGTGAGGCGTATTCAGGCAGAGCAGTCAGCAAGTGCAAAGGCCCTGAGGTGGTCATGAGTGATGTGAGCACAGGGAATCTCAGGAAGGCGAGTGGGTCTGAGGGAGTGAGGATGGGAGAGTGGAAGATAGAGGGCAGGTGAGGTCACCGAGGCCTTGGGAACATGCTGGGGATCTCAGATTTTGTTCTAAATTGATGGGGTACCAGGAGGGCTCTGAGCGGAGATAGATATGCCCTTACTCAGATTTATAAAGGGCTGCCTGGCCACCGCATGAGGGTGGGGCATCGAGAGACAAGAGAGGATGTAGCATTCTGAAACAGCCCTCAGACCCGGATGACAGGGACCCGGGCTGGCGTGGGAGTGGAGGAGACGGTGAGGAGAGGTCAGCCACAAGTGTGTTCTGAAGTTGTTGCTGCTGAGCTTTGCTGAGGGACGTGAGGTGCGAGAGCAAGGTAGTGTGGCCCCTGTTGTGCCGCTGCTGTTTCTATAGGTTGGTGTCCCTCCACAGTCATCATGAAAGAGCTTTCAGAAGGGGTCGCCATGGTGCCTGGGCTGGGGCTCCACTCCCTGCTGATGTGGAGACCGGGGGCTGCTGGCCTGTGACCGTTCGAGCTGTGGACGTCCTCTCTCCCCCACACAGTCTCTGGATGGTGGAGAGTCAGGCAGGGGCTGAAGCTTGCCTGTGGGGCTCGGAGCCCATCTCCAGACCCTGGGTGCGCTATAGGCTGAGCCCCTTCCTCACGCCTCCCCTTGCTCTCTGCTGTTGCCGGCTGCAGCCTCCCCGACCGCCTTTCCTAGAATCATGAATCCTCATGGAGGAGAGTTGATAGAATATCAAAGTCAGGTGCTCTCCTGTGCAGCATAAATGGCCTCACACCGTTAGCCTTGGCCTCCCTGCCCCTGAAGTCTGCAGCGGCTTTGACCCCGGACCCAAGCCCACTCAGGGATTTCTGCAGCCTTCCCAGACTTCCTTCAGTGCAGGATGGTTGAAATTGAACCCGCGGAATGAAGTAGAGCCCAGAGGCAGACGTCCCTGCACCTGGACTTCGATTATGACAGTGCCAGCTTGGATCCGGAGAAAGGAGAATGTCATCCTGAATGTCATCGTGACCTTGGGGTAGGGAGAGATTCAAAAAGTCCTCAGTCTCGTAGGAAAAATGAGATCAATTGTCCTCCACAGAATGAAGGATGTCTGTTCTCAAAAGGCAGATAAAGAAAATGAAAAGACAAGCTTACAGGGTGGGAGGTGTCTGCTGCACATGCAGCCATGGGACAATTTTTTCCTCAAACTCCTGCAAAGACTGGCAAGATGGCAGAAGCCTGGGCAGGAGACTCGAACAGGCCCTTCACCAAAATAGAACTGCTCGGGACCAGCGAACCCAGGCAGTGGCGCTCGACCGCGCTGGTGAGCAGGGAGGTGCGTGGAAAAGCGTTCCCCCCGCCAGAAGGGCTAAAGGGAAACTGGGTGGTTCCAAGTGGTGACCAGGACTGAGTGCTCCAGGCACCTGTGTGTCTCGCTGGGGAAGCCTGCGGCATCTGTGACAGCAGACGCCATGCACACCCAGGCCCCAGCAGCTCCATTTCTATGCATGTCCCTGGTGGAAATCTGTGCCCTAGGGAGCGCCTGCCGGGTGCAGGTGGTTAACGGTCCAGATCCAACCCTCCCTCTGCCCCTCAGCCTTTATCAAATTCCTCAAGCTGTGAGCTGAAGAGCATGTAAGAATTAAAACAGGAACCGCCATCAAAGGCGCTTATCTCCTTTCTACCCGAAGCATGGAGGAAACGCAGAAATCCCAGGGCTTAGCGATGGCCGACACGTCTGGGCAAGCCGTGGGCACTCCCAGGTGGGCGCAGTCAGCCTCTGCCGCTTTCCTGGCAAAGCTGTTATTAGCCTGGGTTCCCTTGGAAAGGAGGCTTAGAGGATCAGTCCTTCTTTCGCTGTTAATCGCGGAGTCTGTGAGCCCTTTCAAGCATGTTTGCTCTGGTGCAGAGCAGACCTCATCTGACAGGGGAATGGGCAGGGGGCCTGCTGCAGTGAGGGGAGCGCCCGGCTGTACCCACAGAGCAAGCGGGGCGGGGGTGGGGGCAGGCACACGGGGTCAGTGGAGCCTGTTACCACGGATGGTCTGCTCACAGGTGGCCCGGACAGTGGTACCTCTTGTCTGGGCATTCGTTCATTCATCCCACCAGTCATTCGTTCACTTAGGAATGTGTTCTAGGGGCTGGGGATACGGCAGTGAGCAGGACAGACGAGGTCCCTGCCCTCATTGTGGAGAAACCAGGGAACGAGTCAGATAAAGAAACCCATTGCAGTTTAGATGGAGATGAGTTCAGTGGAGAAAGGTAAGGTGAGGAGAGCAAGCAAGAATGATGGGGTCAGAGTTTCATGACCTCTGAGTAAAGGAGATGAAAGGGTGAATTACACATATATCTGGACAGAGAATTCTGGAGGCAGAGGCAGCAGTGTCCACGTGGGAAGAGCAGCAAGGAAGCCAGTGTGCCTGGAGCAGAGTCTGCGAAGAGAGAGAGAGCAGGAAACAGGTCAGAGAGGCAGTGGGGATGTAAATTGGTGGGGCCTTGCGGTCATGGTGACTCTTGCTTTTCCTGAGCACCTTGGTGCCATGGGCGGGTTTTGAACAAAGAATGGCAGAGCCTGACTTGGGTTCTGACAGGATCCCTTCGGCCACGTGTTGAGACTGGATCAAAGACGGCAAGGACAGAAACAGGGAGATCAGTTAGGGGCTCATTATTCAATAATGCCAGTGAGAGATGATGACAGCTTGGTCCCAGATGGTACTGGTGATGAGAAGTAATCGAATTCTTGATATATTTTAAGATAAAGGCAGTAGTACTTCCCTGTTGGAATGGAAGAAAGGTATATGGCAATGAGTAAAGTCAAGGGTAATCCCAAGATGTTTTGGTCCAGGCAGCTGGAGAGATGGATTAGTCATTAACTGAAATGACAAAGACCAGAGGAAGTGCAATGTTTGCAATGCAGATAGAGAGATCACACTGGAGCTTAGTCTGAGATACCTGTTAGACACTTAAGTTTAAATGTCCAGCAAGCAATTAAACATTTAAGTCTAGAGACTTGGAGAGAGGACTGGGTTGGAGAAGGTATTTGGGGGCTGTTGACACATAGAAGGGGTTTGAAGCCATGAGGCTGGGCGAGACCCCTTGGAGCAAAGTGTAGGGACAGCAGAGGACTAGGTTTGAGCTCAGCTCCCTGCTGCCTTGGGCACCTATGGTTCTAGTGGAGTGGTGGAGACAAAGTCTGAGAACAGGGGGTCCGTGAGAAAGAACAACTGGAGGGGAATTAGAGTGTGAGAATAACCAAGTGTTTCAAGAATGGGACAGTAGCTGGAGGCAAAGTCAGGTAAAGAGAGGATTGTTTTGTTTTGTTTGAGTTGGGAGATAAAACAGCAATTCGAAAGGCTGATGGTACAGCAGAGGGAGAGAAGAAGGGCTAGGGCACCAACAGCTCTCATGGATATAAAGATCCTCAACAGGGGCACCTGGGTGGCTCAGTGGGTTAAGGCCTCTGCCTTCACTCGGGTCATGATCCCAGGGACCTGGGATCGAGCCCCACATCGGGCTCTCTGCTCAGCAGGGAGCCTGCTTCCCCCTCTCTCTGTCTGCCTCTCTGCCTACTTGTGATCTCTCTCTGTCAAATAAATAAAAAAAATCTTAAAAAAAAAAAAAAGATCCTCAACAAAATGCCTACAAACTGAATCCAGCAATATATGAAAGGACGGTACACCGTGACCAAATGAGATTTACCCCAGGAATGCAAGGGTGGTTTAACACCTGAAAAGAAACAAGTATAATACATCAAGAGAAGAAAAGACAAAAACCACATGATCATCTCAGTAGACTCAGAAAAAGCACTTAATAGAGTCTGGTACCCTCCCGTGATAAAAACTTGCCAGGGTCTAGGGATAGGGATAGAAAGGAATTTCCTCAACTTGACAAAGGGTATCTACAAAAAACTCACAGGCAACGTCATACTTATGGAAGAAGACTGGAACCTTCTCTGAGATCAGGAAGAAGACGTGCATTCTCATTTTTCTTACTTTAATCAGCACTGTTCTGGAGGTTCTAGCCAGAGCAGTTAGGCAAGAAAATGACATATAATACATCCGGATTAGAAAGGAAGAAAGAAGTAAATCTATCTCTTATTTGCAGATAACATGATCTCATGTACAGAAAATCTTAAGAAATCCATTAGAAAACAATTAGACGTCACAAAAAAATACAGCAAGACTGCAGGATATAAGGTCAGCATACACAAATCAGTTGTATTTCTGTT